ATTACAATAATAACAATAATTACAATAATAATAATAATAATTTATGGTTATCCTCAAACAAATATAATGAGAATTTCATTGGCTCTTTTCTACATCATTGGTCCACAACACCCTTTGTAAGGATGAACAATTATAATCAGTCGAACAATCAATCAACACTCAAATGTTCATTGTGAACATGATTTTTGAAAAAAAACATACTTCCTGTAAATGAAATTCGAACTTATTTCAAGTTTGCGTTGAAGTCAGCTGAATAGATTGCTTGGTTGAAAGTAAGAGGCCTAATGCACTAACTAGTTTCATACTGCAAAATCGATTAGATTATCCTCTTCGATGGCCCACAGTCAGTATTAGAGAGAAATAATGTCTTACAATGTCATTTATAATGAATGATGTTACAACTAGAATTGAAACTTGATATCAGAAACCGATATTATTGAACTGCCAGGATATTCACCAAATATCCTAAGAGGATTATTTGTAAGTCTAATTCTATTGGTCAATTCCTATTGGTCGTTCTAACTATCAATGTCACATACTTCAATTTCGTTTCCTATCGAACCTAACCTTATAAATGTGCATTATCTGTAACGTTTTATGACCCAGATCTTTAGTCCGGGATCCTTAGGCTCTTCTGAACTCGGACCTCGTACTTTCTGAATGCTCATAGAATACACGTTCTACTTCGTAACAAGACTTCTTCTTCTAATTAATGAGAGTTTGAGACACTCGGATTAGAGAAGCCTTTCGTGTCGCTGGAACATCCATCCTCACTCACTTTCAACATATTGGGTGAACTCATAATAGTTCAAGATTATCAGTTGACGTGCATGCGTAACATAAACGCAGTCAAAAAAACTGTTGACTGATAAAGTTAGGTTTTCGAGTTTGAAGAGAGTCAACAGAAAAACTTATACCTAGTTTTCTAACTAACTAGCACTTGTCAGCTAATTGTATCGGCATATTTTAGAGCCTAACTCACTCACATTCACAATCTGTAATATCACTAGTGACCTACTCGAGTAAGAACGAGATGCTTGAAAGATTTTACTTTTGCTCCTATTACACTACTCTTTATTATATGTAGAATTACTTTTATTGACTATCGATAGTTATTGTCACACTGATTTCATGAAACATGATCTCTAATTTTTCCTGTTCGTATCTGTGTTAATTTAAATATGGATGGTAAATGTACCTTGTCTCCTGGGTGGCTGTTGTTGGCTGTGAAATTTTCGAAACTACCAGTTAATTAAACATTCCAAAACATCTCAACGTAACCTGAAGATTAAAACTGATTGAATACATGACGATGCATAATGTAGACAGGTTTTATAATGGTTCTCTTTCCTTACTTTTCGTAAACGAAATCCATTACAATAAACGTTACCGCTTCAGACGACAGAAACAACCGGATGCTGTTAGAATGATCTTCCATTAAATGAAGGAATCATGGGCTCCGCTAATCAACATGAATCATTGGCCGACTGATCACGGGATGGTAGTTTGCCTAAGTTTTCAAATACAGGATATAAAAATTAACATACAATTGGGTTGATTTCAGTTTTGACGGCTGTTTTCCATAGTATTTCATTCCGCATTTAAATATAATACGAAATCTAATTTCTTTAAGATGACTATTTCAGATAGTAACTGTCTGGCTAATTCTTCATTGGTCGGAAATCTCACACAAACAGACATTTCTAGATACATAATACTGACCTCATTATTCGACACGGATGTGACTGCAGTTGTAAGATATGTGACAGTGGAAATACACTGCATTCCAACCAAATGACTCATGCAGTTGAACACACAATAAACACATAAATCACACTACTGAGTGCGTTAGTATAGACAAGACATTCTACAATTTCAATAAGTTATGTTCAATTGTTCACTGACGTAGTAACTGAAGTAACTGAAAATTTCAAAACTCTACAGAAATCAGTTTAAATACTTTTAATGGGGCAGTTCAATCATTGAAGGAAATTGGAATCCCTCAACATTGCCGATATGTCGCATAGTATGCGTGAGAAGTTAGTCAAATTCAGTATGTGTCGATGAGGATTGTGTCGTGTGAAGTAGACAAAACAATACCATGAAAACTGAATTACAATGACTAAATCTTGTAGTCAAATTGTTTGTTGGAACTAGCTCGTTCGTTATAATTTCTACGCAATTGTCAGAATATTATCACTAGTGTGCACTTTGTTCAACTCACCTGTATATAATAATAATCATAATTATCTGTCTTTGTGTATTCTATTTCGTTTGTTGTATCGAATTACACACAGATGAGTTTTCTTCCACAAAAGTGATGATGCAATGTATGCACAGTTAGTCAATCAGTCAGTCAGTCAGAAGTGTAACACTCCAATAGACAAAACCTACTCTCCAGTCAAACAATCAATCCTGTGTGACACAACGATTTCAGCAACTCTATCAACATTTGAAAAATATTCTATGTTATCGTCATATGTATTCTTAAATTCACATATATCTTGGAATGCAGTTGCAGTATTCGATGAAAATCGCCATCTTATCTCCGATATTTTGTTCACATTATTGAAAACATTCTATCTAGATGAAGAAATACGCTGAAGAATGAGAAGTCAAGAAATCTCTTATGTACAGTAGTTATGTCAATAATTTGTAGTCTTTAGACGCAACCAATGAACAGCGAAACTCCAGTTACCTGAAGTATGGCGAAAACAATGATTTCAGATGTCAGAAATTTCATTTGTATGTTGTAGAGGAAACTGTTGACGATCTTCTTCTCTATTGGATATGTAGACAATCGATCTACGAATACGATGCATTTTTACAAATTTCCAAACATATTTTGTGCTATCTGATCTCTCATTCTCATTAGCGTATGATCAATAAAGAGGCATGTATTTTCAGCATTCCGGTCGCCTTTATTAGTCCCAGTGATCTAGAATGTGCTAATATGCATGTCAACATATTGTACATCAAACTCATTCACATTGTGTCGGTATTTCGCTTATTATATTTCTTGATATTTTGCCACTGAACAACAGAAACAATGCGCAGAAATCGCATGTATTACATTCATTAATCTCAATCTACTCATTAGTCGATTTCTAATGGCAACATCATTCTAGCGTCAAATCAGTTGGCATTTTTGTGAAACGTACTGTAAATCTAATTTCACGAATTATAGCGAAATCTATCACTAACACTTCCTCAATGCATCGATCATTTAACGTCATTAACAGTTGTGAGTAAACGCAATGGTCATTTGTATTTTACAGAAGTCTATAAAAGGACAGTAAATACTAAAACAGTACTATAAATGCTGATCACAAGCTTGTTTAGATTTGACAACGAATGATTTGTAAGCCGTTTCTCACTCGTATGTGCACTAAAGTAATAACATGGTTGTCAGCATCGCATTAGTTCATGGTTATTGAGTTGTAAGGAACAAATACATTCAGATATACATTTCCTGTGATTCTCAATACTTTCGGAAAAATTTCATCACATACTGTTTTACAATTGAAGGCAACAGCAGATTCGCGGAAAAGCACACAAAACAGCAACTTATATTTCAAGGATTACCAATGAAATCGAATACATATTGCATTGATGCTATAAGTTCATCAGTCAAACTACGAGACATTCCTCGTTACTCTTCGTCAACATTATCAGTGTTCATTTTATCAACAAGGCTCACTGGGTATACGTCTGACCTCGCGTTGAAACATCTTCTAAAATTTCTGTCAGGGTCACCATAACTCCATGCTAATATGGAGCGAACTGGGTGATTTATGCGTCGAACACAATACCCATGATAAACAATTGTACATCTTCCTGCATAGTTCCTCCCACTGAACAGAAATACAAAGTGAAGAACAAATAAAAGTTAATGAATATCAAGCTTAACAATGTTATCATAACCAAACAACAAATGACATACAGAGGTATCTAACGGATACTGACTTCATCAACGTCACTAAACCATTATTCAAATTCTACAAAATGGCATGCTAAAATTAAAGCATGTGGAATATATCCATGGTTGAATGAACTTACAATGGAACAATGAGTAGTCCACTGAACAAACAGATTTCGTTTGTTTATTCATTTAGTCACATATTTGGATTGATATCTAACCTTCTATGTTTTTGCAAAATGCACTATGCTGACCATTCGACATCCGTTACAGTTAAATTTTACATAATACCGTTTCATGTAAAACTTCTGCGTGTATGATTGTATACTCTGGTATTATGATCGGCAGAAATGCGCACCCTCTATATTGACTGGAAAACTTAGTATGGTGGGAGTTTGTTCCACAAAGCTTCCTGGTGTTGTCAGTTGATTTAGTATTACGAGTTCGTAGAGATTGAGTAGATTGATATCCACCAGTGGAGTTTAAACCTGTTCGGGTGTGAAGCAGTGCTCACAGAAGACAGTGTATCAGGTTGCGCAAGATCATGAATAATTCGAAGTTTGACAACAGAACCGTTACTTACCGGCTCAGTGGTCCACTGGTTAGCCACCCGAGCGCTAGACCGAAGTTCCCGGGTTCGAATCCTGCGAGGTACATGTATCGTGCATGCTCATTGCTGATCCAGCCTATATCAGAACGGAACGGCCATTCAGTGTTTCCAGGTTCTAATGGTGTTATAGCATTGGCCGATATGTGATTTCAGTACGTTGATTTAGTGTCAGTACACTGGAGTCAGCTCATATCACCTATCACTCTCTCAAGTAACACTAGCAAACGATTCTTTAAATATGGTTAAATTCTAACATCACGAAGTTAATCAATGCAGTAACAAAGAAATTGTATTCGAACGGGAAAGGCAAACAATTCATTTACTAGAAAATGAGTTTTATCATCATATTTACGTGATTGTTGTGGTTTATATAATTTATGTTGAATTTGAATTAAGAGAAAGCGAGCGAGCGATCAAGTAATTCATCTCATAAGTCTGGTGTAAATAATTGGTTCAAACAATACAACTTACGAAAATAATATCCATTGATCTGGATTCATATATTTGTTAATATTGGGTGCACACGCTGATTTCAGGATCCTAGCTAGACAGAAAAACATATTTGGATTGCTTTCACAAATATCAATCCATTGTCCACGAAAAGTTCCACTGAATAATTTTAAACACTTTCGTATTATCAAACCATTTGCTTTGTCTGCGGCGTTTGCCGATGAACACATGAGTACAGCGATAATTAGAGTTGAATATATCAACATCGTTGTCTATCAGTTTGTGAAAATAAACTCAGTAGACCAATTTATACTATCTTTTTGAAGGACAATAAAGGTCATTTCAAGTAATTACAATCGTAGTGCTAACAAAAATAAAAAGAAATCACGACTCTCATCATGTGATAATAGTCAAAATGTCATTACAAGAATAAAACATTATACTTTGAAAACATATCGTATAAATTCCTCTCAATGCACCTGCATATATTTTAAAACATTACTCACAATATGAATAAATTAGCTGTGACATAATAGTAGTACGAAGTTCTGTTTTCAATCTGGCTGTTGGCTATATAAAGTGAACGAATGTTAACTAGATGAATTCAAGTAGAATTTACTTGCAGAAACATAATGTTGGATTATGGTGAATAAAATATATCGATTTCAGCTGTTTTGATGACCTTTAGATCATATGCTGCAATCTATTAACTTTTCTATTGTACGATAGATTGTTGATTATTGATCATAACATATAAAAATTACATGTGGATGACGACTTGTCTTTGGTAATAAATAAGATTGCTGAATTGAGTGAATCTTGTATAAATGAATCCACTTATGATATTATTAAATATCAAATTAATTCCAGGAATACCTAGAAGCACATGGTCATGTGTAACTCTATCAACACACTCATTTATATTTACATAAACGAACCTAAGAGTAAAGCACTTAGTCTGAATTAGTGTGACTAAAGTTCACAGTCATTATTTATACATCGTCAATCGAATGTTATAGCTTGTCCAATGTATGTCAAGTTCACTGACTCGCTTTTGTGCATAGGTGACAATCAACCAATCCAAATGCACATATATAGGATAAGACAATTTATTGTCGTTTAATAATCCTAGTTTCATGTTGTCACTATAATTAATAATGAATCAAATGTATGATTAATTTAAACAACTTCTCACATAACAACTATCCAGTTGAAGTCGTATGATTGTCAAGACTTTGAACTGAGTGCGTTAGTATAGATAAGACATTCTACAATTTCAATAAGTTATGTTCAATTGTTCACTGACGTAGTAACTGAAGTAACTGAAAATTTCAAAACTCTACAGAAATCAGTTTAAATACTTTTAGTGGGGCGGTTCAATCATTGAACGAAATTGGAATCCCTCAACATTGCCGATATATCGCATGGTATGCGTGACAAGTTAGTCAAATTCAGTATGTGTCGATGAGGATTGCGTCGTGTGAAGTAGACAAAACAATACCATGAAAACTGAATTACAATGACTAAATCTTGTAGTCAAATTTTTTGTTGGAACTAGCTCGTTCGTTATAATTTCTGCCAAATTGTCAGAATATTATCACCAGTGTGCACTTTGTTCAACTAATCTGTATATAATAATAATCATAATTATCTGTCTTTGTGTATTCTATTTCGTTGGGTGGTTCGAATTACACACAGATGAGTTTTCTTCCACAAAAGTAATGATGCAATGTATGCACAGTTAGTCAATCAGTCAGTCAGTCAGAAGTGTAACACTCCAATAGACAAAACCTACTCTCCAGTCAAACAATCAATCCTGTGTGACACAACGATTTCAACATCTCTATCAACATTTTACAAATACTCTATGTTATCGTCATATGTATTCTTAAATTCACATATATCTGGGAATGCATTTGCAGTATTCGATGAAAATCGCTATCTTATCACCGATATTTTGTTCACATTATTGAAAACATTCTATCTAGATGAAGAAATACGCTGGAGAATGAGAAGTCAAGAAATCTTTTGTGTTCGGTAGCTATGTTAATAATTTGTAGTCTTTCAACGCAACTAATGAACAGTGAAACTCCAGTTCGATGAAGTGTGCCGAAAACAATGATTTCAGATGTCAGAAATTTCATTTGTATGTTGTAGAGGAAACTGTTGACGATCTTCTTCTCTATTGGATATGTAGACAATCGATCTACGAATACGATGCATTTTTACAAATTTCCAAACATATTTTGTGCTATCTGATCTCTCATTCTCATTAGCGTATGATCAATAAAGAGGCATGTATTTTCAGCATTCCGGTCGCCTTTATTAGTCCCAGTGATCTAGAATGTGCTAATATGCATGTCAACATATTGTACATCAAACTCATTCACATTGTGTCGGTATTTCGCTTACTATATTACTAGATATTTTGCCACTGAACAACAGAAACAATGAGCAGAAATCTCATGCATTACATTCATTAATCTCAATCTACTCATAAGTCGAATTCAAAAGGCAACATCATTCTCGCGCCAAATCAGTTGGCATTTTTGTCAAAAGTACTCTCAAACTGATTTTCGAATTATAGCGAAATCTATCACTAACACTTCCTCAATTCATCGATCATTTAACGTCATTAACATTTGTAAGTAATCGCAATGAACATTTGTATTTTACAGAAGTCTATAAAAGGACAGTAAATACTAAAACGATACTATAAATACTGATCATAAGCTTGTTTAGATTTGACAACGAATGATTTGTGAGCCGTTTCTCACTCGTATGTCCACTAAAGTAATCACATGGTTGTCAGCATCGCATTAGTTCATGATTATTGAGTTGTAAGGAACAAATACATTCAGATATACATTTCCCGTGATTCTCAATACTTTCGGAAAAATTTCATTACATACGGTCTTACAATTGAAGACAACAACAGATTTGGTGAAAAGAACACAAAAAACAACTTGTATTTAAAGGATTACCAATAAAATCGAATACATAGTGCATCGATGGTATAAATTCATTAGTCAAACTGCGAGACATTCCCCGTTAATCTTCGTCAACATTATCAGTGTTCATTTTATCAACAAGGCTCACTGGGTATACGTCTGACCTCGCGTTCAAACATCGTCTCAAATTTCTGTCAGGGTCACCATAACTCCATGCTAATATGGAGCGAACTGGGTGATTTATGCGTCGAACACAATACCCATGATAAACAATTGTACATCTTCCTGCATAGTTTCTCCCACTGAACAGAAATACAAAGTGAAGAACAAATAAAAGTTAATGGATATCAAGCTCAACAATGTTATCATAACTAAACAACAAATAACATACTGAGTTATCTAAAGGATACTAACTTCATCAACGTCACTAAATCATTGTTCAAAGTCTACAAAATGGCATGCTTAAATTAAAGCATGTGGAAAATATCCATGGATGAATGAACTTACAATGGAACAATGAGTAGTCCACTGAACAAACAGATTTCGTTTGTTTATTCATTTGGTCACATAGTTGGATTGATATCTAACCTTCTATGTTTTTGTAAGATGCACTATGCTGACCATTCGACATCCGTCACAGTTAAACTTTACATAATACTGTTTCATTTAAAACCTCTGTGTGTATCATTGTATACTCTGGTATTATGATCGGCAGAAATGCGCACCCTCTATATTGCTTGGCAAAACTTAGTACGGTGGGAGTTTGTTCCACAAAGCTTCCTGGTGTTGTCAGTTGATTTAGTGTTACGAGTTCGTAGAGATTGAAGAGATTGATATCCACTAGTTGAGTTAAAACTTGTTCGGGTGTGAAGCAGTGCTCACAGAAGACAGTGTATGAGGTTGCGCAATAACATGCATTAGTCGATGTTTGAAAATAATTCCGTCACTTACCGGCTCAGTGGTCTAGTGGTTAGCCACACGAGCGCTAGACCGGTTCCTGGGTTCGAATCCCGCGAGGTACATGTATCGTGCATGCTCATTGCTGATCCAGCCTATATCAGAACGGAACGGCCATTCAGTGTTTCCAGGTTCTAATGGTGTTATAGCATTGGTCGATTCGTGATACAGTACGTTGATTTAGCATCAGTACACTGAAGTCACCTCATATCACTTATCACTCTCTCAAGTAACACTAGAAAACAATTCTCTAAATATGGTTAAATTCTAACATCACGAAGTTAATCAATGCAGTAACAAAGAAATCGTCTTGCAACGGAAAGAACAAAAATATCATTTACTAGAAGATGAGTTTTCTCATCATATTTACGTGATTGTTATGGTTTATATCATTTATGTTGGGTTTGGATTAAGAGCGAGCGATCAAGTAATTTATCTCATAATTGTGGTGTAAATAATTGGTTCAACCAATGCAACTTACGAAAATAATATCCATTGATCTGGATTCATATATTTGTTAATATTGGGTGCACACGCTGATTTCAGGATCCTAGCTAGACAGAAAAACATATTTGGATTGCTTTCACAAATATCAATCCATTGTCCACGAAAAGTTCCACTGAATAATTTTAAACACTTTCGTATTATCAAACCATTTGTTTTATCTGCGGCGTTTGCCGATGAACACATGAGTGCAGCGATAATTAGAGTTGAATATATCAACATCGTTGTCGATCAGTTTGTGAAAATAAACTCAGTAGACCAATTTATACTATCTTTTTGAAGGACAATAAAGGTCATTTCAAGTAATAACAATCGTAGTGCTTACGAAAATAAAAAGAAATCACGACTCTCATCATGTGATAATAGTCAGAATGTCATAACAAGAATAAAACATTATACTTTGAAAACATATCGTATAAATTCGTCTCAATGCATGTGCATATATTTTAAAACATTTCTCACAATATGATTAAATTAGCTGTGACATAATAGTAGTATGAAGTTTAGTTTTCACTCTGGTTGTTGGCTATATAAAGTGAACGAATGTTAACTAGATGAATTCAAGTAGAATTTACTTGCAGAAACATAATGTTGGATTATGGTGAATAAAATATATCAAGTTGAGTTGTTTTGATGACCTATAGCTTTTATGCTGCAAACGTTTCTATTGTACGATAGAAGGTTGATTGTTGATCATAACTTATGAAATTACATACAGGTGACTACTTGTCTTTGGTAATATATAAGATTGCTGAAATGAGTGAATCTGGTATAAATGGATCCACTTATGATAGTATTAAATATCAAATTAATATCAGGAATACCTAGAAGTACATAATCATGTGTAACTCTATCAATACACTCATTTTTATTTACATAAACGAACCTCAGAGTAAAGCACTTAGTCCGAATTAGTGTGACTAAATTTCACAGTCATTATTTATACATCGTCAATCGAATATTATCAGCTTGTCCAGTGTATGTCAAGTTCACAGACTCTCTTTTGTGCATAGGTGACAATAATGCAATCCAAGTGCACATATTAGGATAAGACAATTTATTGTCGTTTAATAATCCTAGTTTCATGTTGTCACTATTATTAATAATGAATCAAATGTATGATTGATTTAAACAACTTCTCAAATCGTATGATTGTCAAGACTTTGAACTTTGTACACTATGCAATTCGGCCTCTTTCGTTGGTTATGTGCCTGTTTGATCAGTGAAAACTGTTCAACTCATGAACTTGCTCTAATTTTGATGATTGAAATTTGAAAAAGATTATCTATGCTACAATGTGTAGTTGCATAACAATAATAAACGTAATCTCTTACCTCATAGTACATTTTGAACTTGTGACGTGACTTCATTTCTTTGAACTATGAAACGTAATGATGACGTTCTAAATACTAACAGGTGATGCACTTAATGACACGTAATGCATTTTCGAAAAATATCAGTGACCGAATGAAAGAAGATAGGTAGTATTTCTAATAGAAAAAGTCAATGAGAATGACCAATATGGAAAATTATCATGGGATCGATTGTATGATTGCGGTATAAATAAGTGACTGAAACACTCACTGAACTACAGTGAAATGAGTTACTTGCGTCATTTACAGATCATAGTTGAAAAGACCGCCAATGATAGATTTTCGAGAATTAATGGCCGTAACTAACTAGGTCGTTGACATTTTCCAACTGAATAGTGTTGATAACAGTAACTATATGCTTTGATAATGAAGGAGGTCAAAATCGTTAGGCTGTACTGAATGTATTCTGCACAGCTTCTAAATTAAATGTTCCCACAGTCAAGATGAACAGTCGGACATGTGTTTGATGTTATGTTTGTTCGACAATCCAGTAGAACTTTAAATTGATATATGATAGAATCATAATAATATATTTGTTCCCAAATAACAGCATGTTATAATAGACATGTCAGTTTACAGTCTAGATCAAACTGTTACAAGTGCTACCGCATCTATTGTAAGAGTTAACAAAGTTAGATTAGAAACAAGAGTCTGTTTCTGATAGCATATTGACATCATGTCACTGACAGGAACAGATTGATTCAGCCTCATTTTAAAAAAGTGAGTTTTTGGATGATTGGTATAATTCAGGAGTGTATTATTTGGGAAATGTCAGGGAAATACCGTAACATGCGTGTACAGAAGGTGTATTTGCGCGGAGACACCATGAATGGACGAAACAGTTATTCAGTACTGCTTGTTTTTCAACGAAACTCCATACGGTGCAATTCAGTGATGGCTGTCATCTAAAAATGAATTATCAGGTTACTTAACTGTCACTTCTTGATACATACTATAATTTCCGCCTAAACTATAATCAGCTTTCATTGATGAGATGTTTTACGCTTAATAATCAATACAACTTTAATTGGAAGAATAGTACATTTACTTCGGATATTAGTCTGTCTATAAATCGATAGAAAAGATTAGCAATTACCACGTGTTACATAGGGACATATATTTCCTTGAATAACAATGTCTGTAGTATAAAATGTTCTGCTGTTGAATTTTCTATATTGTCTGCTTAAATTTGTATTCAAAAACTATTGAGAAATACAGTACAACGCTTCACTCAATCAAAACTGATGTGAGTCGCTTCGGTGATTTTGAGAAGAAATACAACAGTGTATGAACAGGCTGAAATTCTCAATTTGTAACGGATAGAATATTTTGTCATTCTGCTACCAGCTAACAACAATCTCTTATATATTCACATATCAATGACATCTCTGAAAATCTGTTACTCAGATCGCATTGATTTACTCAGACTATCACATTCAACATATTCAGTTGTGTTCATCACAGGATATAATCCAATCACAGATGTGTTATTGTGAGGTGTGACAGGATTGTGTGAATTCAGTTCTAAAAATGAGACTAATTGCAATTTATTTTGTACAACAATAACAAATGACTGCAACTCAGTGGTTGATGAAACAGATAATACTGACATATCACGTTGAATATTCCTATTCATGTTAATTTTACACTTTGACCGACTAATGGTTTAACATAATCGAGTTACTGAATGATGAATTTCTATTGATATGACTTATGAATAATTTATGAAACTTACCAATATACGAACCAAACTGTTGTCGAACTCGATCTCTGTCAACGATAACTTAGTTTCCTTAAATAATTGATTTTATAGCGAGACGACAAAGTCATCAGCACGTAGTTAGTTTGTGAGAATTTTAAAATGTCACAACCTTTTTCAAATGATGATGACTAATACTAATACTACTACCCTAATATGATTGTTTGCTCAACAGAAACGTTTCTATAGATTAACACGTTCTCTTCAAAAATGAAGTAAATCATTCAGTTGAACTGATAGTCAAACATACAATGATTTCATGTAGGCAAAATTGGTTGTAAATGACCGAGACACATCATGAATTTGATTTCATTCTGATCTGATGAAGCAGTTGATATTTCCCTTCATCAAACAAAATCCACTGATGAAATATGCTTACAATAGGGAATTCAATGCATGTGTATATCTGTAATTTTCCATTTTCTACTTATTATTTAGTGGTGCCATGGCACTATGAACGTGTAAAATAAAATCGGTTATTCACTGAATTCACTGAGTTGTCTTTTCTCTCTATTCATTATGCTCTGTAGAATGCACTTTCATGGTACAAATCAGACAAATATATTTCACAGATTTCTGGTTGCACTTAGAATAAATAGTCATCAGATTTGGTAAACATGAATTTGATTTTGTTAAACGATGATCACTATTATTATTGTTGTTGATATACGTTAATTTCTATCATTCCGTTGTATGATTTCAACGGAAAAACTCTGACAAAGTTCATGGATATTTGATTTCTACTCTAAACATCTACAAATTCCACATTCAGCACAATCGGAAGAAGTAATAGTGTAGTGAACGAGAACAGAGGTGGGGCAACCGTATTGTAACTAACAAAAATTACAGAGTTACTAAGTAAAATCGGAAAACCATATGGTAAATCGTTAATTTGCAAAATATAAGTTCCTGTTGCAAAACATCAATCATTGTCACTGTTCGTGCGTTTCATACAAATTCCATTGTTTTTCCACTCTTCCTTTTCTTGATCTTCCCCCATCTTCTGCTGCCAGGCATTACATGGACACTCACGTCGTACACTACTTATAAGTAGCTTGCACCACACTCGTCACCCCTTTTATAAGCTGTCGTCTCTTTCGAAACAGGGACCCTGGTCAGTTAATATCACCTTCACGTTATATACTATTTATAAGTAGCTCGCACAACAATAGTATCAGTATGATGCGACTGCATTAGTTTTAGAAATAATAATAATAGTAGCAGTAGTAGTAGTAGTAACAGTAAACATAGTGGAGAAAATAGTAAATAGTAAAATAGTAAATAAATTTTTTTTGATATCTTACCTTTTCACAAATAAACATATGACAAAATAATGTTTATCATCCATAGACAGCACCTCATTGTTCATTCTATATGTTTCAAGCTATTTTCGATTGAAAACAAAATATTATTTGACTACAAATTTCATGGCTATTAAGAAAGTCACCATAAACTTTAAAATCATTTGAACAATCCAATTGTTTTAAACTCTGAGTGAATCGGTAGCAATTGCAATCAACTGTGTATGACATGTTTTGGAAATATTTAGTTATTGTGCACGTTTTCATGAACTGTTGGAATAATTATAATCTTCCATTTATTATTGGTGTGTTGTTTAGAAAAAAGAGATTTTAGTCAATTATCATTGTCAATAATTTCCTTTCATAACAATTTGTTCAGGTTTACAAATCTGTTGTTTCACTAACGGTTTATGTAATGTCGAAATTAAATTTAAATTTTTCGTATGATGTCTTTAGAAAATATATGTGAACTTCATGCTGATATTAAGTAATGTAGTTTACTTGTCAAGATAATAACATCTAGTACAGGCAGATCAATTCAACAATTCAAATCGAAAATGCTCAAGTAAATAACTAATAGACTGTTCTAAAAGTTTAAACAGAATGATATCAATACATTCAAATTTTGACGACACATGAGAATATCAATAATGCAAACATATAGAACAATTCAACAATGTACAGCCGGCAATCGCTTTCACAGACAAGTGTGACAAAAATGCTGAATTTCTTTGACGTCATACTAAGTAGACGGATTGACGGCTCGCTAAGTAGGAGGGTGGACGGAAAACGTTCCTGTGCTTGCTAGTATACTCCCCTTCATAGTTTAGGACCTATCCACTACAAAAGAAATTTGGTTGGATGTCTCATAAGCAGGGCAAATATGATAACTTCAGTAGATACTTTAAGTGAGGAGCAGGAATTCATCAACATTCTACTGACCGAGATCGGCTACCCCAGCACGTTCTTACAGAATTATATGTATACTGTCAAAAATAAGTCGGAGACTTTGACTGTTCGCAAAATGTTTCATTAGAAGTCCTTCCCGATAGATTGGTGACAGTACTTATTAGGAAATTCTGCGCAACCAATCTTGTGTTGACTTTCTCGAGTCTACCAGTGATTTCTACTAATAAGTCGTCTGAAATGGCCTCATCAGTGAGCTTTTATAAATCCAGCTGCTTCTACGGAGGTAACATTATCGGGAGTACTACAAGGCAACCTAACCAACGAATGAGTGAACATCTCCCATCATGGTTTACAAAGGGGCAGATAAATGCATTACACAGCTTTATCTTACCTACTTACTTACACACTTACGCCTGTTACCCCAAATGAAGCATAGGCCGCCCACCAGTTCTCTCTAACCAACTCTGACCTAGGCTTCCCTTTCCTCTTCTTTCCAATGTTTGTTCATTCTTCTTATATCTTTCTCCATTTCTCGGTGTAATGTGTTCATCGGCCTTCCTCTTTACTTTTTGCCTTGAGGGTTCCATGTGAGGGCCTGTATCGTGACGTAGTTAGTTGCTTTACGTAGTGTGTGTCCTATACACTTCTACCGCTGCTTCCTGATTTCCTCCCCTGTTGGAATCTGGTTTGTTCTCTCCCACTGTACGTTGTTGCTGATTGTGTCTGACCAATGAATCCGAAGTATTTTCTTTTGTAAACAACTGTTAATAAACACTTGTATCATCTGGATGATGCCTTTCGTAGTTCTCCAAGTTTCCGCTCCATACAGTAGAACTCTCTTGTCATTTTTCTTCAAAATCTTGATTTTGCTGTTGGTTGAAAGTTATTTGGAGTTGCAGATATTTTTCAACTGTAGAAATGCAACCCTTGCTTTGCCGATCTGCGCCCTCACATCTGCATCGGATCCACCTTTCTCGTCGATGATGCTGCCCAGATATTCAAGGTGTTAACGTCCTCCAAGGCACCTGTATCAAGAAAGATCTGGTTGGTGCATGTTGTGTTGCATCGGAGAATGTCGCTTTCTCATTCATGTATGTTGAGACCTACTACTGCAGAGGCTGCTGCTTCACTGGTTGCCTTCTCTTGCATTTGTTGTTGCGTGAGCGATAGGACAGCCAGGTCATCTCCGAAGTCCAGATCGTCCAGCTCCGTCCTAGCTGTACACTGAAAACCGTGCTTCCCTCCAGATGTTGACGTCTTCATAATCCAGTCGATCACCAGGAGAAAGAGAAACGGTGAGAGTAAGCAACCTTGCCTGACACCAGTCTTCACCTCCAAAGAGTCTATCAGCTGTCCTTCGTGTACCGTTTCGCACTTGAATCCATCATAAGAATTCCGTATGATATCAACTATTTTCTCATTCACATCGTAGTGTCGAAGAAGCCTTCACATTGTTTTCCTATCCACGCGAACGAATGCTTTCTCGTAGTCGATGAAGTTGATGTAGAGTGGTGAGTTGCCATCAATTGATTATTCCACAATGATCCCTCATGCAGCGATTTGGTCTGTACACGATCAATCCTTACGAAATTCAGCCTGTTGATCGCGAAGTTGGGCGTCTACGAAGTCCTTCATTCTGTTTAACAATACTCTGTTGAAGACATTGCCTGGTATTGAAAAAATAGTGATGATTCTGTAGTTCTCACACTTGCCATTCATCGGTATTTTGATCAGGCATCCCAAATCTTCTTGAAGAGGTTGTGAAATATTTTCGCAGTTGCTTCCACATCTGCTTTCATTGCCTCTGCTGGAATGTTGTCTGGTCCTGCTGCTTTGCCACTCTTGATTTGTCTGATGCTCATACTGATCACCTCAATCGTAGCTGCGCCAATAATAATTGGGATGTCCGTGGATGCTGCTTCGATGTTGGGTGTGTTCAATGGAGCTTGTCGATTCAAGAGTTCCTCAAAGTGCTCTACCCACCTATTTCTCTGTTCTTCAGTGATGCTGATTAATTTGCCCTATTTGCTTTTCACTGGTCGTTCTTGTTTTCGATAGTTTCCGGAGAGCCTCTTTGTTGTTTCGTACAATTGTCTCAAGTTTCCGTCTCTCGCAGCCTTTTCCGCCAACACTGCTAGATCTTCCACATATTTTCGTTTGTCAACTCTGATGCTCTTCTTCACTTCCCTTTATTCTTCTGTGTATTCAGCTTGTGCCTTAACTTTCTCTGCTCTTGTTCGGCTGACATTGATTGCTGCCCTCTTGTTCTTCCTTTCTTCAATCTTTGCAAGAGTATCAACAGACATCCAATCCTTATGATGGTACTTCTTGTGACCCAGAACTTCGTGACATGTTGAAGTGATTGCCTACTTCATCCGTTTCCAATTGTTCTCCAATGTTGCTTCATCTCCACTGAGTATATTGTGCAAGGCCTGGAACCTATTGGTGAGGACTATCTTGAATTCGTTGAGTTTTACGGTATCCCGAATAAAGGCCGTATTAAACTTGTGTGATGTTGCCTGCACGTTGTGCAGTGTTTCTTTAGTTTCAGTTTTATTTTAGCGATGAACAAGTGGTGATCTGAGGCTATATCAGCTCCTCTCTTGGTTCTCACATCGTCCATTATCCTTCTGAACCTTTTGTTGAAACAGACATGGTCGATTCTGA